TGTCAGCATCATGATTGGGTTTTAGAGGAAAATGCCAACTTTCATAAATGTCCTCATGGGCTGAGCAAATTAGTCCAAGGACAGTTCTTCCCTTCTTTCCATCTCTGCCCTCTCTCCTATTATTATTCATCATATTCATGCTATTGTGTTGTGCTAATCACACCATTTACTTGTGTGTGTGTGTTAATTGAAGGCCCTAATTTAGCACAAATAGTCAGAATACACACATTGGTGGGATTTTGCTGAAACCTCAGAGTTCGAGTAGCAACCTTTTCTGTCATTACTATACATGAATCATATTTTCACTGATGCCTTGAGTGTTTACATGAATTTTAAGACATTCAAACTAAATTTGTTGTTTAAAAACTCTTTAGCCTACTCGTCCTCACATCAGATGTCTCCCTTCTTCCACATCGAGGTCTGTAGTGAAATTGAGGGTTGCCATCCTTGCAGTAACAGGATCAATGACTCTGACGTGCTGGTTTAAGACTGAAGGTCTCCAGTGTGTCACTGTGTGATTTGTTTGCTTCATTAGCTCTGGTCAATCGTCTGACACACAGCTGTTGTTTGTTTGCTTTGGGCTGGAACGTTCTAACCTCATCCTCGAGTCCCGTATGCGCTCTTTACACCTCCAGCCTTCTCTCCCTTCACTTCCTTGTTTTTCTTTTCTTTTTTAATTGTTTCGTCAATTCTTGCATGCATCTGTTCTCCTCTGAGGCTGGATCAAGTACGTTTTTCATATTCACATCCCAGAATCTTTTTTTTTTAACTGTGACTAAGGTAAAATATTACATTTGTTCAGCGATACATTAGCCTTAATTTTAACATGAATTCGCTCTCCATTTAAATCCAGAACCTACTTTGACCAAACTCTGTCAAACGTATGAAAACTAAATCATCCTTTTTAATTCATAGGACCGTTATTATAACGGATCATTACAGATTTCACTTAATAATTTTTCATTTGTTGGATTTTTATGAACAGCATTTATGGTATATAATAGAATATTCCTTAATATAATATATATAATATTTAAGTATAATGTCACTTTGTATCACCCAGCCTTTGCTAAATGGGATCCATGAACCTGGGCTGGGATAAACATGCTGGGTATTTTAGCTCTCTGCTTGCCTGTGGTCTCTCACAGCGTGAGCCTTGCTGAATGGATTCGATATGGGCCACAATGTTTGCTGGGAGACTTTTCCTTTCAACGGGGCCACAACAAAAGAGTCATTATTGCCTAAAGTGCCACAGGCTTTATATAATAAGGGTCCTTCAATAGGTCCAGTCTCCACTCTTCACAGCCGTGCCACGACTAGCTGCAGTACTCATAGTGTATGAACAATTACATTTTTTTTTGTGGGAGGTTGGGCTAAATGTCTTTGTGCTGCTAGAAGCCTCCTTTTTTACTTATCTTTTCTATTTTATGGGGGGAAATTTGCTTTAACCTTAAGTTTTTTTTCTATGCTCTCTCTCCTCGGTCCTGCTGTTCATATTGATATGAGGTTAGAAGATGAATTCTTATCTAGCTAATAATCAGTCCTAAAACCAATTTTAAAAAAGAATTGACTTGTTAATCTGGTAATTGAGCAGCCAGTCTTTAAATACAAGCAAAATAAGTAATGACTTAAAGTGGTTGGAAGTTCCTTTACAAAAATGTTTGTTTTAATGCAAATAGTTGTATGGTGAACACTGATGCATCTGTGTTTACTTTGGAATATGAAACAATTTATATGCGTCTCTGCTGAGGGGGCTTTGGAAATCCTCACTGAATGAGGAAAGAGTCACCTTAAAGCACCATGACAAACAGTACATTAGGGCTGCCACGATTACGTCGACTATCAAAATCGTCGACGACTGATTTAATAGTC